ACGTAAATTGGGCTCTATGTGCCCGATTCAAAGCCCAATCAAATGAGCAGTGGATAAATAATAATCTCATCAATCCCGTGCGTTATCCAATTTCACTCACTTCCACCACACAAAAGAGGAGTATGTTACTCTCAGCCATTTTCGGTACAACGACGGTGGCGCCACCGCGATACTCCGACGGAATCAGCGTTGGTGCTACCAAGATGGTGGCTCCAGCTAGATTGGTGTCGGGTTGTGGAATGGTGATAGAGTGCTCGTCGAGACCACAGAAGAAGGCTACGAAACATCACATGAAGACTCGTCCTCGTAAGTCTCAGGGTTGGGACATCCGCCGTGGCCCAACCGTCTACCCTCCTCTTCCAACGTTGCCTCCGGACTGGACTCTTGTAACTGACGGCGCCACCGCCGCGACGTCTTCTTCTTCAGGAAGTGCTCCACCGCCTGCCGAATCTGAGTAATTTGTACGCAATTTAATCATGTTTTTGCAATTAGACAATTTCGACTACGATTTTCTTCTCTAGTCTGTTAATTGTTTGTGTGGTTATTTCAATGAAATTGAGCTTCTGCTAATTAGAAAATCACTCAACTTGACAATTAATTTCTATTTTTAATAAATATATTTAGCAGAAATTTGAGAATTTTGAGAAATATAATGCTGGGAATGGATTTGATTTGTATTTAACTAGTGTTAGTTCTAGAGCAACCCCAAGAGTTGGGCGCTGATATATCCATTTCGGTTACATAATCAATCTTGAAATTCAATATCTCATCTCTGATTGAAAAGTTTGGGAATTAAGAAACTCCACTAGGTAGTATTCATCTTCCATTCGTTCTCATTTTAAAGTTTAAACCAAAATTCCCTATTTATTTAAGTTTTCTGAATTGTGGATAGTTCATAACATGCCCTGTCTCAGTTTGCTGGGCAATTAGAGGAATTTGGCTTTGGGAAAATTCATTTACTTCTATGCAGTTGGCTGTGTTTGCGCTTCTGATTTCATCCAGAGCTATTACTGATTAGAGTTGAGGCATTAGACAAGAACGAGGAAGGTTGATTTGATTTTGCCTAGAGACCTATTCTTTCCTTATCATGTGGGGAGTCCATCATGCTAATTTGAAAAAATAATAATAATAAAAAATCCATATTTATTAATATATATAGAATTTGCTCATAATACAAAATCCTCATCTTTATATTCTCTTTCTTAGAGTCTTCCTTCATTTTGTAATTGCGGTTTGTCCAAATTTGTAAATTGAATCAATGGGCTATCTATTTTCTGCTCAAACCTTTTTTTTAACCTCCACATTCAAATCCGATCTTTATCGTCGAGTCCACTTGTTCGCTAAAATTATATACTGCAAGTACACAAGTCGCATTCAAGTAATGAAATGGATTATGAGTCCGAGTTGATCCCTCGAAGAGCGTTTCTTCCAATCACACGCTAATTGATTCAATAATCAATTAACCATAATCAATTATTTTAACCTACTATATTTCTATGTCCATTGAACACAATCAATAGCATTAAATATTTTTGAAAATAACTCAAATGGTTACCTAGGGTTAGGAGTCTCTATCTCCTACAAGAACTTATGATTTCTACCATCTCGATAAAAAATGTGCAAGAATTTCTCAATAATCACACAAATCAATTGACATAATTACATAGTGGCCACAATGATGATAATGCAGATATAGAAATTCATATATTTATGTCAAGTTTCCTTATTCATCCCTATGTCAAAATGTTTGGCCCATTGTATTTAAAAGGCACAAAGTGAAAAGATTAAAGAAATACATAACAATAGTTGAGAAAATATAATGAAATACAGGACAAAGAAATAAACTCGTCCCTTAGTCGGATTCTTGAAGCTTGTTTAGTTTTGGTCTTGATTTCTCCGAGATTTCCCTCATTTTGTGTGATATTTCCTCTCTTTTTGCTTACCCCCTTTTCTTTCTAGGCTAGGGTTGTAAAAAAGGATAAAAAATAATGAATGAAAAGGGTGTAAAGGATGTTTAGAAGGTGTAAAAACTGTCTTAAGAAAAATTGCAAGAAGAGCCCCTGGACTCCGGAAAACAAAAAAAATTGCCCTAGTTGGTAGTGGGGCACCATGGCTCAGCTTTGGGGCTCCACTCTCTTTTTCAATTTTGTAGGGTCCTTCGGATAATTGCACGTCAGGTTTCTCAACTTTTATCTTGTACATTTTGGTCCTTAGATTTTGACTTTCTTTCCAATCATGCCTTCTAGAAATTGCAACCCAAGGTCCCTAAAATTTTAGTGATTGTGCATTTTGGTCCCCAAAGTCATTTTTGTGCACTTTTGGTCATTTTTCCATCCTTTAGCTTTCTTCTCCTTCAATTTGGGATTTTAGC